TGCAATGATGGCAACGGTGGTGAAGACAACCCATGATCCCACTTTGCTTCACCGCGTCAGAAAGGAACTTTCTTTTGCGAAATGGGCTCAAGAAAAACTACAATAAAATGAAGCACAACCAGGAAGCAATGATTGATAAAAGTTGCTTTTAGCTTCTTCTAAGTCCCAGTTTTATACTTCCTTGCAAGACGATAATCTCAGATATAACTTAATTAGAAAAGTTAGCATCAGAAGTATGTGCACATTTGAAGTTAGAGATCAAAGTAACAAATTAGTGAAGTCGTCTTCATAAATCCAGCTGTCTAATCTTTTATCTCATACACACAATTTTCCTAATCCGATTTTTACCGCATTGTTGTTCTTTCACGTGTGTTGTGTGTAATGATGTTCTCATCCCCTCAAACATAACAACCCTGCAGTTAACCTTACATAAGCTTCAAACAGATCTTCCCAGATACCCATGAAAGGTATCCAAAGTTGTCCAAGAGGCTTCCCTCCATCGTGGTCGAGCCGACGGATGGAGCCGAGGTGGAGAGCGGCGAGCTCCGCTGGCCGCCAGATGAGCCGAGCTGTCCGGACGCCCAGAGTGAGAGACAGAGTGTGGAGGGGCAAACTGCAGGTGAGGACTTTTTGTATTTGGCTCATTTAGTTTTAAACTGGCCAATTACACAAACCACGACTTGACAAAAGTTGAAAAGATTCTTCACTTAAGTCCCTGTGGACAAAAGTGGGAGTGTTTCTACCACCTCGTTTTATTGATTTCAAGGGGAATCCAACTGAATCCAACACAGCCGCAGGCAATAAGAATAACTATATAGAAATAACCAGTCTTCTAACTGATAGTCTTATATTATATATATATATATTATTTATTATAGGCTATATATTAAATTTAGACTTTCATAACCAGTTAAAAACTGTTTAAGTAGCAATACAACAATGTAAAAATACTCCATTACATGTAAATGTCCTAAAAGCTCTGCAGTAAAATGTCCTCTGTGACTGATATATGTGATTTTATTAAATTCCCAACCTAGGGGTGGGGCTCCTCCAAAGGGTCACAGACAGGAGTAAAAGTAGATTGAAGTTCTTGTCGGCACTACTTAACATTAATCACTTGTTAAACTGTTGTTTATGTTGACTTAACGTTAGCACGTGTCTTTTATTGTTGGAAAGGGTCATTGTATATTGGCTTTGGCAGTCAGCTGCCGTCCCCTCTTCCCAGTACCTTCACCCCTGGTCACAAGATAAACCTGAGGGGGTCGGGAGATGATTAATGAGGGAGGGAAGAAGGAAAAACAAAGTTTGAAAGCTCCAATCAAAGCTGATAATTTTTTGGACTTTATAACAAATATAAATATCAGATCATTTTAGGGGAAATTTCTCTTTGATGGAACAGCTAATAATTCACAGACATGTGAAACATGAGGGACCCCAATTAGACACTGCTTCTTATAAGGGACCATAAGCCAAAAAGATTTAATGTTTAATAATGTCTTTTATTTTATAAGCTTATTATATGTTTTTAATGTAAAATTGTTATATGTAAAGTAACTAGTAACTATAGACGTCAAATAAGTATCATACAGGGAGTTTATAACTGGTTATGAAACAGTCTCAATTTACATTACTTTAAATGGAAATAAGTAAAGTAGTCCACCACTGGCTGTCCCTATCTGATAACACAGTCGTACAAACAGTCTTTTGAAAGTCTCTCCAACACACGAGGAGCTGCTGGACTTTAGAAATGAACATCCGTCTCTTTCTACCCATAAAAGGTTATTTCCTGTAGTTCTTCTTTGCTAATGACGCACTTTGCTTTTCAGTCTCACCTGTTTGGATGAACTGAACAAAAGAAGGGAAACACTCCAGAGCAGAGATGCAGAGATATAGTGTGGCATAATATTTTGCACAGAAATGGGATGATATGCATCACTGGGTTGAAAAATGAATCAGTCTTATCATTTGGCTTTCAAACAGGGTTCACCGCTGGAGTCATACAACACAGGATAAATGCAATTTTGCACTCAGGGTGAATTCATTAGAGGGAACCTATTTTCACCTCAGTTCTTGCCGTCCGGTGTGGATCTGCATCTGTCGGCTCTTTCCATTGACTTTATTAGCATTCATGCTGCCTCTAAGTACCACTTGAAATGCAACTGAGCAGCTGTATTCACACCATTTGCTATCAAAATTGGGGTTTGTGTTATATAGAATATTAGTCCAACTGAGTTCAGACATTGATTTATTTTAAAGTGGCATTCTATTTTAGATTAGATTGGTTTTTATCTTCTGTTTAGTTTGAGGCCAATTAAGGATCTGTAGCCTGCTATTTTCAACGTGAGATTATTTCCCCTCTTATTGATCTTTACATGTTAAAACTAATTAAAACTCATGAGCTCTGTTGAACACAGAAATGTATCTGACAATCATTTGTGAAGTGTGTTGTTGCTTTTGTGAAACGGGCTCTTACTTAGGTTGAAAACACTTGTGTTGCATATTTAAAGTGTTAAAAGTATACAGGGTTCACAGTGGAGCCTGAAAGTACTGGAGACCCATAATGATATCAATATTAAGAGTCAAATAACGATATATTCCAGCTGATATTTAGCCGTGAGTCCAGGGATGGTAATGTCTGTCTGTCAGCTGGTCCACCATCTTGTGTTCACACTCAAATACTGTGATCCCTGACTCCCTCTCCACCATGAAGTTATAATAACATTGGTGATCCTCTGACCCTCGTCTAGCGCCATCATCCGGTCAAGCATGTAACTTGTCAGAGACTTTGGTTAATGACTAGATACTTGCCAAAAAAAAAGCCATTCTGCTTATTTGCCAAATGTTACCATGCTAACATGCTGAACTTTAACTGAACGCAATCTTATCTTTAGACCTGTGAAACATAAGCACGTTTGCATTGTCACTATGAGAGTCTTATTAAAGTAATTTATTTAGATTTTGATTTATGTGCAAAGCATCATAATACAAGGACCAGTGTGTCGGATTTAGTGGCATCTAGTGGTGAAGCTGCAGATTGCAACCACCTGAATACAACTCAACATGCCAAGTGTGTAGGAGAAACTACGGTCGCCGTGAAGGGCCCTATCTAGAGTCAGTGTTTGATAAGTCTGTTCTGGGCCACTGTAGAAGTAAAGCAGTTCAACATGGGGGACTCTGTAGAAGAGGACCTGCTCAATCTTTAGAAAAAAACTAGATCCTCCTAAATGTTACACGCTGGACCTTCAAAGTACCTACAGTGGGGGTTCCAACTCATCTTTATGTCCCGTTCATTCCCTCACTTTTGCTCCATAACAAAACAATGTAAAAAAAAAAAGTAAAGTAAGCTCTGATTTGACAGACTGAGGTGTAATCCAGTGATGCTGCGTGTTTTTCCAGATGAGGAACAGTTGAGCGTCAGCGTGGACGAAGAGGCTTCAGGTGCGGAAATGCAGGACTCCAACTGAACAAACTCTCCTCCTGCGTAATCCACCGCTACTGTGAGTGTGTCCAGACTTGGATGAATGGAAACGAGTCAAATAGAAGAAGAGCACGTTGCTTTGATAGAAAGATCTCTGAGACAGGGGAGGAAGGGTAGAAAAACAGATTCCCAAACCCCAGCTCACGGGCTTGGAGCCAGAATCCTGTTGCCACTTTCTTTAAATAGATTTACAAGAAGGTGTTTTTTCTTTTCGTGTACTCATCTACGCTGATGAAGGAGGTTGTTCTGACACATGTAAGCTATTGAAGATAATTGTTGCCACCTTAGACCTTCTGGCTGTTTTTTTTTTCTTGAGAAGCTGTCTGCCTTTTTAAATTGAAAAAAATATACTTTAACTGTTGGCAGCAGACATGTTTTTAATGTCAGAATTTAAAGTACAGAGTCTGAATCTCCAGTTTAAGAGAGTTAAAACCGTCTAATATATCTGTTGTCACATTTCAAGCTTTGCGATTTTGATATATATATATATATATATATATATTTATTTTAATTCTCTGGCTCCAAGCCCTCACCGTCCAGATGCCCACAATGTCACATCTGATCTGGACAGATTTTTAAATTTCTAAATGCTGTCTTAAGTATTTAGCTCATGTGTGCCATACTGCTACTACTAATGGTAGCTAATGTTTTTTGTGCACAGTTTTTACATTAACTCTAGATGTAAATTACATCACTGTATGTTAAGTGCTGACTGCTGTAGTTTGGTGATCTTGGTCTCACTATTCACTTTGTAATAATAGCTACGATGTTTTAAAGAAGAGTATTTGATTAAGAAAGCCGTCATCACTTTATTCGATGTTATTACGATAAATTCTCTAATATATTAGAATATGTAAGCATTGTCTTCATACGGTAGGTGTTAAAAGGAATGTAATCGTTTTCTGTTTTACTTATTGGAGCAATATGTTCACAGGAATTTAAAGGCAGTCCATTTTGTTACAGAAGTAAAAATAACCAGTATATTTTAGATGTGTGTCGCTTGTCACAGACATGATATTTTTTAAAATACTGGAAACCTAAATTATTGCACAAGTAATAAACCTTTTCAAAATTCTTAAAATGTTCTTTAATTTATTGTCCCTGTGGTTTGTGGTTAAAGGGAAGATTAATCTGACTGAGAATCGTCTTTAAGTGACAAAGTCTGTCGGGTTTCATGACGTCTGCAGGGCCTCAAGTGTCGTGGTGGACAAAGTATTGAGATCTTCTACTTTAAAGGTCCAGTGTGAAGGATTTAGTGGCATCTAGCAGATTAGTTGCAGCTCTGTCGCTTCACCCTGCCCTTTACAAGCACGAAGGAGAAACTACAGTGGCCCTGAAATGCCAAAAAAGACGCCCCTATCTACAGCCAATGTTTTGTTTGGTCCCTATAGGAACAGGAGTTGTAAACTAATGAAAACTTATATATGGTAAAAACATCATATAGCTATTATTCTGACAGATATTGCGATTGTGATGCGATTCACAATCAGTTCATTTTCACTTAAAAAAACAATTGAAATCGTGACAATGTGAAATGTTTTTGGGTCTGTAACAGACAAACATGCTTCATTAAACAAGATTATTAGACCAGAGCATATCTGCAGCACTACAGTACTCCCTTATAATGCTGTTTTGTCTCATATTTTACCTTTATCAAAAAATTGCAGCTTGTGCGATTTGCATATTGCACTATTGCACACCATACTGCGATTTCGATAATATTTCGATTCATTGTGCAGCCCTACCTTTAATTAAAGCAGTTATACCACAGTGTAAAAATACTCTGTCTACTTTTACAAGTGAAAATCCTGCATGGATCTAAAAAAACCCCCCCAAAAAAACCCAACAGCATAAAATCTGCTGCTGTGAGAAGTGGAGACACGAGGGAGAGCGCGCAGCTAAAAATCATCCACAAAGAGTGAGTCATAGAAAAACAAGACATCCCGCAGATAGAAACGAATGAAAGAGCAGGGGGAGTTAAGGGATAATCAGAATAGTTTAATTATAATTGGAATATGTTCTTTTTCAAATTAAACTTTTTAAGATAAGAGTGTAAAGTTTTGTTCTTGCAACTGCATTTATAACGTTTTTTGAGTCAAACGTTGCTTCACTTCAGTTCATTATAGAACAAATATTCCTTGGACCACTACAGAAAATTACGGGTGAACATTTAACAGACTCAAAATGAGGGAATATTGCACTCTGTTGCAAAACTTCATGGCTGTGTTTGTGCTGTGATATCATTAGTGCAATGTATTCTGATAGCGGTAGCAAGTGATGCACAATTCATGTTGCTATCAGCGGCCATAATTCATTCTTTTGTGAATTCGCCCCTCAGCGCGCGGGAGCTGCCAATGATTCTGCAGGTGTTGAAACGACATGAACGAAAAGTAACATCTAGCTTCTACTTTACACTCTCATGCTGTGTTGTCACTTTGCTTTTTGAGGCACGAGAACAAAAAGTCGTGCAATGTCATTCGGTGTTCAGAGCGCTGACTGGAAGATGTGAAAGCCTCAAATCTCAGCAGCTGGTGAAGAAATCATTGTGCTTTTAAAAAACAAACCTTTACTGGTACAGTGAGTTGTTTGGGTTTTTTTGGATTAGTGGAAGTTTTGCTTTTAATGGAAGTCATTTTCATCTCCTCTGTGTTTTTAGTTTAGAGAAAATACACAGTTGTTCTGGATTTGATCTGCTCAGAACATTACAATTAGCTCTAAACCTAACCTTTTTATATCACTCAGATAAGAATAAAAGTGTTTCATGTAAACACATTTTAATTTCAAAGGGCTGCTTTAAACTTTCATAATCAAATCAAAGGATACAAATCTGCCAGGCAGCGTTTTTAATGATAAGATAATCTGCTGAAACATTTCCACACAGGCCTCTACTTTAATGAGTGATGCATCTTTATCAGGGTAACCAGTTTTTGGGATGTAAATGGGTTCATCATCATCTGTTCGATTGTAGTTTACTCTGATAAAACTGCTGCTTCAGTGCAAAAACACCAATAATAATGCAATAATTATTGATTGGTCTGTCTAACGGCTTACTGCTGTGGAGCATGTAAACAGGGCATCATCTAACTAACATCTAACTAGTCCATATAACCATTATAGTTTTAGTTAAAAAGATGTACTACTCTGTACCAGAAGTGTATTTTTAAGTCCAATTAGTGAGTCCGGTGAGACCTCAGCAGCCTCAGGGTCCACTGATATCCACATTGCAACAGAACAGGGATGAATTATACAGTTCGAGGGCAGGAATTATCTCCTGTGTCGCTCGGTGAAATACCTTCGGTGTATAAGTCTTCTCTTCTCAACCAGCATGTTGTGGAGGGGGTGGGAGATGTTCAGGACGCTAAGCAACTTGGATCCTCATCTCAACTCAGCTCTTAAACTTAAAAAAAAGCGTACTGTTCTGATAGATTGGACAATTTAGAACCAGTTCTCGATTCCAATACCTTGTGAACCACCTTGACATCTTTCCCCTGGATGGATACAGGGGTCAGAGGAGGCTTTGACCTGCAGAAGTCCACGATTAGCTCCTTCGTCTGGTTTATGTTCAGTTTTAGCTGCAGACTGTTGCAGATTTGCACCACCCAACAAAGTCATCCACCAAACCTTTGTAATCCTCCTTTTAATGTGGAATACGCAACGTATTTGGTTGTTCACTTTGAACTTAGACTTGCACAATCTTAAGTCTCTCCAGTGTCTCCAGTTTGAATATGATAGAAATATATAGGGTTTATATCCATAGTTAAATAATAAAGGATGCTGCTCAGCTTCAGTGAATGGACAAAGTTTGTGTCACTGAAATGTTTCCTTATTTCCTAATTAATAATAAAACCTTTTCCTGGAAAGCTGAAAGCTGTCCTGTAGGATTACAGCCCTGCAGTATTCCTCAGTGCTTCAGTGAAGGACATTCAGGTGTGTCTTCTCCTCTGAGCTGGAGGCTGCACCGTGAATCCAAACTCTGTTCTTATTTTAGTCTCTGATTTATGTTTCTTGCCTCATAGTTATTCAAGGAAAGTAAACCCAGCATCTGCTGTAGAAACTGCTGTATTTCACGTCATTGCCGTAGAACAAGAAGCAGTTTTTATATATCACTTGTTGAGTCCTCAATCAGGTCAACCATGGACACACAGTAACAGATGCTCTTCATCTTTTGGCATTAGATCATTCATCAGATCACACAAAATCCCAGAAGTTCTCGTCACTTAGAAGCTGATGTGAAAGGTTTTTTTGCATGCAGTAAATCGAATTTACAGAATCCAATGTGGCATGAAAACAGCAACGCTTTACTCAACGCTTTACTCTGACCTAAACTATTATCTCTAAATTGTTTACTGAACGGGGAGAAAGTCAAAGTGGGATTCTGTAAAACTTTGCTGGCACAGTTTGTTTTCCCAAAAAAAGCTTTGGGTCAGAATAAGAATAATGCTCTGGATGTTTTAACACTACAATATTTTTTTTTATCCAACTTTTTTTTTATCATTTATTCTATAAAATTTCAGCTTTATTAATTCCCAGGGGGAAACTCATTTGGCACCAAATCAACTCATACAGACAACAAACAATATTGCATTCACAGTACACAACAAATAAGTAAATATAAAGCAAGTTGAGACATGATTAATTGCTGGAATCGCGACATCTAAAAGTCTTTATTAACAAAAGACCTTGTGAGACGTTCTGTAGAAGAGATCACTAGTCACTGAATGAGCTTTGTGAGTCTGTTAAAAACTGCGTGTAATGGATGGTCTTTAAAATACAGAAACATTTTTCATAATATTTGCTAAAATCATGGCTCCATTGTGCAATTTTTAAAAATGATGCATTTAATTATGCCTGAGGGGGCACTACAAAGGTATCAGTCACACAGTATTTGCTTAATGGCCTTTAATGAACTTCACCCAAACTTTTAAAGTAATTTTTTGTAATTTTAGTTTACGTTAAGACTTTGCTTCTGATTGGTTCACATATTTAACTAGTACTATATTAAAAGTTGTACTTTCAGTTTAATTCCCCTATTTTTTTATTATTATAATAAAAGAGAGATAATTGCATTTTATAATTAAAATGCTATTTGTATTATGTAATGTTGTATTGATTTTATATGTGTTTAGAGCAAGAACTAATCCATAAAACATGTAAATAAACTCATGTGTTGGCACCATTATCTCCAATGTTGGCTGAAAGTGCTGTAACAATTAGACGGATAACAGCAATTTTCATAACCACCTAAAGGTTAAAGTTATTTATCAAGAAAAGAAAGCCAAATATTCTCTTGTCCAAGCTTCTACATTGAGAGAATCTGTTGCTTTTCTCTGTTTTATATCATTGTTGGCTGAGTATTTTGGGCTTTTCGACTTGTAGTTAGACAAAATAAGCAATTTGAATGCATCCTTGGGCTTTGGGAAACTGTTTTCTGACACAAGACCAAATTGATAATCAATAAAAAAAATCAATAGTGAGAATTATAGATAAACGGTCAATCAGTGGCCAATTATCTGGCATTTTGAGATAATCAGCATCGGCCGACGCCTGCACTCACGAGGCCAGTAAAAAAAGACTGCAGGTAGTCTCGTCAGTGTGGCTGCTGTGGAAAAACGTTGGCGCTTGAGGATGAGCACTAAATCTAAAACCGTCACTGTTTAGTGTTAAATACATATTAAGTTATAATGTATAGAACAATCCATGTTGAATGACGTCTATTCTTTCACACTGTACTGTACACACCGTACGCCGCTCTCCCTTAAACACCTTAATGTCACGTTCTGAAATCTGCAGCATTAATGTATTTTTCAGTTTAATTAATTCATAACAAATCCATCTAAAACAACACGTTACTGGAGTGTATTAGATTGTAAAGTGCCAGGAATAATTTAATATTCACGACTTTCCTCTGTTTTTATATCGGTCGACCATTAGTGAAAATAATTACTAGTTTCAGCAAACAGGATGAAGTGTCTGATTGCTCCATATATTGCTGCTCCACAGGTTGAATACATTTAATTAGAGGGAAGGATGTGCTTAAAGTTGCCTTTTTGAAAATGCAATAAAATGCAG